CACTATGTCCGTCCCATCCAACATCACATTCATACAGATCAATTCTAACCTATAGAAGAATATAAATCAATTATATTACTCATTTAATAAACTCTACGATTGTGGCACCACTACAAAGTTTGGACCCAAAAATGTCCTACTTTTTGTATTGGGGATTCTGTGTTAGACAGTTTGCTGTTTTGATAATAATAAATTAGCAAAAATACTGACATTAAAGTTGGTCTCCAAAGTGTGATAATGAGACCTTCACAGAAGATGACCAGCTCTAAAACTCCAGGATCAGCCGTGGCAGGCCGATCATAGAACAAATGTTTGGAAGAATGAAGTGCAAGTGCAGAGAGACCTGCAGAACACCTGCATTCACACTGTGGTTGTGATTATGGCTGTTTCCTCCACAACATGTGCACAGGTACCACTGAGGTGTGTAAGGACCTAATGTTTATTTATTAAAATAAATTCACCAGACATATTATACAGTACACATAAAACATAAGCAAGAAAACACAAAAACAAGTATACATACATAAAAAGTATGAAGGAAGAGAAGTGTATCACTATGTTTGGTCTGTGTGATGTGCATGTACAGAGGTCACATTTTCTCCAGGAATCTGTTCATTAGCACCAGAAACCCCACCTGGGCAGTCTTCATCTGGTCCATAGTTTCTTCATGGTGATGCTCACTAGCTGCTGCAGATTCCCTTAAAAAGTCCAGAATAGCCGAACTTGTTAATTCACTGGAAGTTTACACATTCACTATGTGATTGAAGTTCAAGCTGCTTCTCCAGCTCACTGTTACGCTGGACCTGGAGACGTGGAGTGTGATTTCTGCACCGGGAGAAAACACAACGCCGTCAAGTCCTGTCTGATGTGTCTGACCTCCTTTTGTGAAACTCATCTTAAACCTCATCTTGAACTTCCTGCTTTGAAAAAGCACACTTTAATCGAAGGCTCCTCAAATCTCCAAGAGAAGATCTGATGGAGATCTTCTGTCGTACTGACCAAAGGTGTATTTGTTCTTTGTGCATGTTGGATAATCACAAACGCCACGACGCTGTATCACGTTCAGCAGAGAGAACTGAGAAACAGGTGAGAACTAGAAATCTTTTCAGAATGAATTCATCTGAATTATATTTCTTATCTAGAATCAACTGCTTTAGTCAGTTATCATATTTAAATTGTGATTGCAATGGTTCAGTTCATCAGCATGATTTTTAAATGGTGTATTACATTTCAGTGTGTTGAGTTTCCACAAGTGATAAATGAATTCACATCAGAGCAGTCAGTGAACTTTGGATCAGCTGAACACCAGTTTTACAATTTAAACTATTCCACACAAGACTGTGAACTTTGCAATTAGCTCCCATTAATATTCACCCACACATCATTTGTAACCATCTGAATATATGTGATTTGTGCTCAGAGTGAGCTAAAGCAGGAGCAGATGAAATCCCAGCAGAGAATCCAGGAGAAGCAGAAGAAGGTGCAGGAGCTGAAACAGGCTGTGAACATGATTAAGGTGAGCAGTGAGCAGAGACAGAGCTGCTCCTAGTAACAGATACAACATGAACAACCAGCCATCCAGAGTCAGTAAGAGAGGGAAGTGTGTGTGTGTGTGTGTGTGTGTGTGTGTGTGTGTGTGTGTGTGTGT